AACTCGCTCTGTAGACCAGGTTAGCCTCAAAGTCACAGAGGTCTGCCTGCCCCTGCGTGCACCACCACCACCTGGCTCCCATCACATTTTTAAAAGGTTGTAAAGAACACTCATTAATACACATCCAAAGAATCAAAACTACAATAAACATTGAATCAAGAGTCCCTTGTGCTGGTTCCCAACAACAGACCACCATGGGAGCAGGAACTAACCCAAGGCCAAGGTGGCAAAACCAATGGTGAATAGCTGTTTCATCTTTGGGAATTGACTTTTTTTTTTTTAATGAATGGATGAGAACCAATGTTAAATGTGAGTAGGATGGAGAGAAAGCTTAGTGGTTAAGGGTACTTGTTGGTCATGCAGAGGACCTGGGTTTGATTCCCAGCACCCACATTATGGCTCACAATCATCCACAGCTTTAAGCAATCATGTATGTGGTGCACATTCATACACACAAAATAAAAGTAAAAAAGCACAACAGGCTAAAGTAGAAGGATTGCTTAAGTTCAAGACCAACCTGAACTACGGAGTGAGTTCCAGGTCATCTTGGGTCATATAAACCAGTAGATCCAATGGTATTTGAGGTGTCAGTGGCAGACAGGGATGCTGTCTGGAGTCTTATTAATTATATGAAGCAAAGTGGTTAAGGGCATGGGCTCCATTGTAGCCAGGTGTGGTAGCACACTCTAATTCCAGCACTCAGGAGGCAGAGGCAGGCAGATCTCTGTGAGCTGCAAGCCAGCCTAGTCTACAAAGCAAGTTCCACAACAGCCAGAGCTGTTACACAGAGAAATCCTGGGGGGTGGGGGGAACATGGGTTCCAGAGTACACATACTGCAAGGACATTCTCAGGTCCTAACTGACATAGCTACTCACAGGACAAATCTGCTTACCTTTCAGTTTCTTCATATTTGAACTGAGCATAATAGAATTGATTGATCTTATGAAATTAAATAGATAAATGTAGAGTGCTTCAGCCAGGACCTAGGGCTTAATTATTCAAAATTTAGCTGCTATCATTATCTCTATCAACTAATTTCTGAATTTTCTACAAACATGGCCCAAAGTTTCCTGTCTCTCCCTCCCTCCCCTATATTCTTTGGCCTACTGAACATAACTATAACAGATTAAGAACACTTTTGTGAGACCAAGTCCCATGGCGTCTCAAGTCCCAGCACAAAAAGCAGAGGCAAGTGGATCTCTAAGTTCAAGGTTAACCTGGCTGTGGTCTACAGACAAAGCTATATAATGAGACTCTTGTTCCCCCCAAAAATAAAAATAAAACTAAAACAAAACTTCCATTTCCCCCCCCCCCCAGAAAACTTGCTCCAAGTTGATTTTTCTAATTTACATACACACACACACACACACACACACACACACACACACCCTACTTCAGGGTGCTGCTCTGTAGTCTGGACTAGCCTAAAACTCAATTTTCCTGCCCTAGCCTTCTAAAAGCTGGGATTATAGGCAAGCAGTACCACTTCTGGAGAAATTAAATTTTTTAATTCTATAAATATCCAATGACTATAATGAGAATATAAAACCTTAAAAACGAATTTTGTGTCTTGAAAAATTTCCATTTTTTTCCAAACTCATATTTGGTTGTCTCGATTCTACAAAAGGAAATACAATCAACTTAGAAAATGACCCCCCACTTGTCCCTGCCTTCCCACCCTCCCACGACCTCTGCCCCTAAGGAGTACTTCTTTTGGTGTTAAGGAATGAAGGACACTATCTCATTTATAGCACATTTACGAATGAATTAATTCGGGGTTGGGGATTTAGCTCAGTGGTAGAGCGCTTGCCTAGCAAGCGCAAGGCCCTGGGTTTGCTCCTCAACTCTGGAAAATAAAAAAAAATAAAATTAAATTAAAAAAAAGGAATGAATTAATTCAAGATGCACTTCTCACACATATTTTAACTCTATTAAAATCTGAAATCAGCATGATTATAAAAGGCCCTTTATCTTTGTATATAGTCATGCTTGAAATAAAGTACTTCCCCATACCCTGCATTCCTCACAATGTTGATTTTTATCTGGCATATGGTATACAAGAAGGGTAGTTTTTACTAACTCATTATGCCAAAATTATCAAGCTATTTCCTAAATTTTAATAAATTAACAAACTAATTCCTCTAGTCTAAATTATTTTACTAATTGCTCATATTCTGTTTACTGGACAGCTGAAAAAAATGTTTTTATGTATTCATTTTAACAGCCAAATATGTCCAAGCAAAGGTATCTCCATTATTTAATTTTATTGGAGGGCTCTAGATTCTCTTCAAAGTGTTATTGCCTGTCCAAGTTCTTTGAGGACTATGACATCTCAGTGGCAGAATATATCACTAATTTGAAAGTAAATCAATACCAAAAGCAAATGACTTGGTCATCTTATTATAAAAGATTAAAATAGGGCTGGTGAGATGGCTCAGGGGTTAAGAGCAACCACATGGTGGCTCACAACCATCTATAATGAGATCTGGTGCCCTCTTCTGGAGGGCAGGCGTGCAAGCAGACAGAGTACTCATACATTAAAAAAAAAATACAAAAAAAAAAAAGATTAAAATAGTCACAAGTTTTATTATACCAAATCTAAAAATACATAAACTTATGCTTCACGGACATAAGATCAAAGAATCTCATAAATAGAATATAGCACTTTACTAGTCTGGCCTTATGAACAAGCCAAACTGAAAAATATTCCCCGTGGAAAACAAAAACTGTTCTAATTCTAAAACTCTCTTGACATTTGATACACTACAAAAAATACAAAAGTTCATCACAATAAGCAGAATCATTAAAGGTTGCTGGAAAATCAACCCAAAAGATTACAGCTTAAAAAAAAATTCCCCCAAATGCAAATATTCATTTGTAATTGCCATAAATAATTAAGAAACACACACTAACACCAGCTATTTTTAAGATATGCAACTTCTTCTGAAATTATTCTTTTTTTTTTTTTTTTTTTTTTTTTGGTTTTTCGAGACAGGGTTTCTCTGTGTAGCTTTGCGCCTTTCCTGGAACTCGCTTTGGAGACCAGGCTGGCCTCGAACTCACAGAGATCCGCCTGGCTCTGCCTCCCGAGTGCTGGGATTAAAGGCGTGCGCCACCACCGCCCGGCCTGAAATTATTCTTAACAGCCTAGATGAAAACCTACCATCAAGATGTAAAAAGTATTTAAAGTACCTCCCTCTGTATACATTATATACTTAAAAAACCCACAATCAAACACATTTGGATATTTTATTAGCATAATTTGGCAATTTATGAAAACAGAATTGGTTCCTTCACAGGGATAAAATATAAAAATCACTAGCATTCTTAAAAACAGGACAGATTGGTCAAACGTAATACCAAATGTCTTGGGAGTGGAGATTTTATGACCATGTCCCAAACTATGTGATACTGAGGGATGGAAGATGCTTTAATCCTTTGAAAAATATGCAGCAAATTCAGATGGTTCCTTTATAATTCACTAATAAAATATTGACAAAACAAATCTAGTTAGACAAGAACCAACAAGGGCTCTGGACATCATTGACTGCTTATCCATTCTGCTAAAAAGGACATTTAAAGGCACAGGGCACCCAGAACACCAAGTTTTCCACCCTACCTTCTGCCCACAGCTGCATGGCTTCATCACTGCACAAAAGCACTGAACACATCATAGGAAAGTTTAATAAAGAGAAGTGTTTAATAAACAGACACTTCCTTTTCCATTATCTAGACTAGTTACTAAAGTATTTATAAATAAGCTCCCTTGAAAAGAACTCACGGCAGCTTTAACAGTTTCACTTTGTAGTGCTAATGCAGTTCTGAATATGCACTCCTGAGAATATGAAAAAAAGTCTTTTTCTAAATAGCGAAATAGCAACTAGTCAAACAAGGGATGCTCAAGAAAAGCTGTTTCTAATATATCCAAAAAATTATATAATAAGCTATGACAATCTTTCCAATAATTTCCTAGTGTCAAAGGCAACAATACCTATTTGTACAAGAGGAAAACGGGAAATTAAAAAAATTTTCCTCTCCAGCTAAGAATGACTTTCCCTTTTGTTAATATTACAATGCAGTCATCTACTGACAAAGGAAAAATGAGCGCTTAAACCCGGCGGCGGTGGCGCACGCCTTTAATTCCAGCACTCGGGAGGCAGAGGGAGGTGGATCTCTGTGAGTTCGAGGTCAGCCTGGTCTACAGAGCGAGATCCAGGACAGTCACCAAAACTACAGAGAAACCCTTTCTCGAAAAACCAAAAGAGAGAGAGAGAGAGAGAGAGCTTGAATTTACTGTTAAGAAGCAAAACTGACAGCATTGCCAGTCATAGGTTTAATTCCTGTTTCTAGGGGAGAATTTTGAAGCAAAAAGACTTCACTGACAGCTGATAAATTCTAGTTAAAGAGCTTGCACAACACAGTCCCTATCTGTCACTTGCTTTTCCCCCCACACTATCCACTCTGCACCAAATCCCCATTGTTCTATATAAAAACTCGCAGCTAATGACACCTGAATAGTAACTGCTACATTTACGTTACATGGAACTCTCCAGACCCACATTCACTCGCTGCCTTCTTTCCCCCAATCAAATCCAAATTTGGTCATCAACTGCTCACAAATGATAAGGGAAAAAGATCCCAGCCTCTCTTCCAGACTGATGGATGTCACTCCAGAGACGGGTGAGTTAGTCACCAAAAGGTTAACGTAATAAATCGACCAGAGGAAAACATATATATTTAAACTGACATTTTATAACGATTTAAAAAAAACTGTACTGTACTGAAATCCGTAAAAAGAGGGTACACTGTCCACGAGACAGACGGTCCTTCTCCCGCTTGCACGCAGGGTTCCTTTGGGTTTGGATTCCTGGGACACCGCTTCCTCCCCACAGCAGGCTGGTCGGGGCAGAGGCAGAGGCAGTGGGGACCACGGCACCCGGGCCGGCCACCTGCCTCTCCAGTCAGCTTCGAGGACTCCCGCAGCGACACCCACACTCACCCATCTTTCCTCTTCGCCTTGTAGACGTGCCCGTAAGTGCCTCGACCAACTTTGCAGCCCTCGTATTCAAACAGGTCCTCGACCCGCTCCCGTTCGCTGCTCAGCTTCACTTTAAAGTCATAGTCCATTGTCACAGCCTCCGAGGCCGGGGTGCTGGGGTGGGGGGGGGGGGGTCGAGGGCCGCGGTGGAGACCCGGCCGCGCGGCAGCCGCAGCCCCCGAGCTACACCCGCCGGCCGCAGCACCAGCCCGCCTCACGCGGCGACGGCAGGAGGCCCCGCGCGGGCGCCGGGGACATCCAGGGGAGCGCCGGGCGGTCCCCGCGGGCGCGCGACAGCCGAGGGACGCGCTGGGGGCGGGGAGCAGCGTCCGCCCTTGTCCCCGCGCTCCCGGGGCGCCGGCTCGCGCGCGGTTGGCCGCGCGTGCTGCTGTGGGCGCGGGGCGGCCACGGCTGGCTCTGCTCCTCACCCACGCGCGTCCGCGCCTCACCTTCCCCCACACGCGCTCGGGCACACTCAGGCTGCCATCAGCCCCGACAGACCAGCGACGCCACACAACAGCCGGTAGCTCCTCCGAGAGAGGAGGAGGGCGGGCGGGCGGGCGCGGAACACGGCAGCCGCTGTCGTAAAAACGTCGCGAAGCCTCGCGCTGACCCCGCCCCTCCTGCGAGCGGCTCAGGACGGGGCAGCCACCCCTTCTGACGCCGGCAAACGAAAGGGCCTCGCTCAAGCCACGGTGCGGAGCTGCTGACAGACTCACCACGTGGACCAACCCGGTCGGCGAAGCGGCCAGAAAGTGCAAGGCTCAGAATGCACGGGTGGCGGTGTAGCCGCCTCTTCCACGACGTCGCGAATTCAGAGCGTGGCATGATGGGATTGGTAGTCCATCACGCAACGAGTTTCGGCTTCATGGAGATTTTTTCCCAAAGCTGTATCTCTGCAATCTGAATTAGCCCATATAAGCTTAGCAAAAGACACTCGTTAGTGAGTGTCTTTTGTATTGGCGTCACTTCTGAATTCCAGGATTTAAGTGGGATTATTGCTGCCACCCCCCCCACCCCCAAGCCTCCAGGTTTTTCCTAGTATAGCCTCTACCTGTCTCTAAATACTACAATAAACTACGTAATTGTATTTATAGCTTGTCTTCCTTCATCTGACTGTCCATTTCATGACGTTCTCGGGGCTTACGTGCTAGGCAAGCGTACCATTATACTTCCAGTCAGGTAAAGCTGTTTTCACTTAAGTGAAGATTAAACTCTAATTTTCATTTAAATCTCTTGACACAAAAACAGTTATCACCTCAAAGAGAGTGAGTTTTTTCTAGAGACAAATATGAGTGGCCATGCTTAGAGACATAGGTTTAAGTTACCACAAATTCCAACTTGGTAACAGTTTAATGATATTTTTATACCAAGAGAACAAACTTGATGAAGGGGGCTGGGCTGATGGATAGATTGATAAAACGCTTGCCACATGTTGTAGTTTGTGATAAACACCATGTCCACACACAACTCGGGGAGGAAAGGATTTGTATCAACTTAACAGGTTAGCCTGTCATCAAGAAGCCAAAGCACCACTTTTTAAGTCATCCATGTTTCTGTGTGCCGGTAATACTAATACTAGGGAGGCAGAAAAGGCAGGCTCTCTGTAGCAGAAGGGCCAGCTGGTCTTACTGAAATGGTGTGCTCAAGGTTCCATGACAGATATCGACCTCTGACCTCCAGACACAGGCATACACACATATGCTTACACCTGCATACATGTGTGCATACACAGACCACTTACACATTAGTGGAAACATCAAGTAGGTTGGTGATAGAAAAGCAAGAACGTGTCTGCTATGGGCCTTACATGTCCTCTAATGGCCAATTCTTAGCTTTTGGGTTGGTGGGAGTTAATCGTCTGTTTATGTATCCTTGAAAGATTTAACTAATATGAAGATGTTGGGTTACAGAGATGAGCCTTTTAGGTAGCTAAAAATAGCCCGAGATCATTTGTCTTCCAATCTGTGACATTCCAGCTCTCCCCAGTTGTGGAAGTTTTAATCAATGTCACCTGTAAAATATTTCGAGATGCAGATTTTTTTTTGGGGGGGGGGCTTCAGTTCACAGCTCCCCCCCTTGTTGGCCAAGCATCACACCTTTGGTATGTGGAGTCCTAATGTGTCATGTCCCACACTGTGAGGAAGATTTGTCTCTAGAATCTGATAAGAATGAGGATGAGTAGGCAAGAAAGGCAGGGTTCAGGAGAAAGAACTAGAAGCAAAGACATTAAGGAAACAACAACAATAACAACAACCACCTGGATAAATTCAAGTCACATCCATTAGTTATAATGATCCAAGTTTGATTTTCCCCTCCCCGCATCTGACATAACGTGAAACGTAATAGGGATATTATACTTACAATTGAAATAACCCAGAATGGGACTGGAGAGATTGCTCAGTGGTTAGGGGCGCTTAGTGCTCTTACAGAGAACCGAGGTTTAGTTCCCAGCTCCCAAATTGTGTATCACAACTGCTTGTACTCCAGTTCTAGGGTTCCAGCATCCCTTTCTGGAACTGGCAAACACGGAGCACTAACATACATGCAGGCAATACACTCATTTAAAAAATGAAAATAAGATATTTTTAAAACAATAGTCAAGAATGCAGTATGAGCCGGGCGGTGGTGGCACACACCTTTAATCCCAGCACTGGAGAGGCAGAGGCAGGTGCATCTCTGTGAGTTCGAAGCCAGCTGGTCTACAGTGTGAGTTCCAAGACAACTAGGGCTACTCAGAGCAACCCTGTCTCAAAAAACAAAACAAAAAAACAAAACACAACAAAACAATAAAAGAGAATGCAGTATGCCCCAAAGAAGTAAATGCAACAGAGAGACGGAGGAAATTAGTCTTTTTTTTTTTTTTAAACTAACCAACCAAAACCCATAATTTTTTTTTTTTTTGGTTTTTGTTTTGTTTTGTTTTTCGAGACAGGGTTTCTCTGTGTAGCTTTGCTCCTTTCCTGGAACTCGCTTTGGAGACCAGCCTGGCCTCGAACTCACAAAGATCCGCCTGGCTCTGCCTCCCGTGTGCTGGGATTAAAGGCGTGCGCCACCACCGCCCGGCTTAAACCCATAATTTTAAACTAGATGGACCACATATTTCCCTTGTGTCTGAGTGATTTTCACTCTATGAAATATCTCATTGGATGTTTAGAAACTTTTTAAATTTTTAATTTAAAAAAAATTTAATCTTAGTGGATTTTTAAAAGTCAATTTTATTTTATAAATATAACCTCATAAAGAGTGGTTAGTTTTCCAGACAGTGGTGGTTCACACCTTTGATCCCAGCACTCAGGAGACAGAGGCAAGCAGATCTCTGCCAGTTTGAAGCCAGCCTGGTCTGCAGAGCAAGTTCTATGACAGCCAGCACTACACGGAGGAAACTTGTCTCAAAACCCCAATAAATAAATAAGTGTAGAGAGAAAAAGGTTAGTTCTACTTTAGGAGAGATTGGTCTTATAATCTAAGTTACTCTTTTACTTGTGGGTAACAATTTGATTTGCCTAGTTAACTTGGTATTGGAGCAAACTTTAGTTTGGGGAAGTTAAGTGGAAAAATCACATTACAGATGAAATTGGACAATAATATAATAGTAATTCAAATTCCCACCTAACAAAATTGTATGGGAGTTGGGAGAGGCTGTTGCATGTACAAAAATATGAAATCAGACTTCTGAAAAATCAGGATTCCACAGATTTTGTAAGCATAATTAATACTTTTTAATTTTATTTACATAATCAAATCTTATTTTATAGTAGAAAAGGGAAAAGTTCAGTAGGAGTCACATTGTAATATTGTCTATTCACTTTTTTTTTTTAAGACAGGGTTTCTCTGTTTAACACTGGCTGTCCCGCAACTCAGTCTGTAAACCAGGCTGGCCTCGAACTCAGAGATTTGTCTGTCTGTCTCCCGAGTGCTGGATTAAAAGCATGTGCCTAGCAGTGTCCATTCACTTTTTATCAGCAAAATAGGACTTGTTTGCCGGGCAGTGGTGGCGCATGCCTTTAATCCCAGCACTTGGGAGGCAGAGCCAGGCGGATCTTTGTGAGTTCGAGGCCAGTCTGGTCTACAGAGCAAGATCCAGGACAGGCGCAAAGCTACACAGAGAAACCCTGTCTTGAAAAACTGAAAAAAAAAAAAAATTTGTTTGATTTTTAAAATCCCAGCTAATTTTACTATAGCACACCTTAAATATTCAGGAAACACAGGTGCTTGGGGTAAAGAAATGGCTCTGTGGTTAAGAGCACTGGCTGCTCTTCTACAGGACCCGGATTTGATTCCCAACACCCACATGGTGACTCATAACCCTCTATAATTCCAGTTCCAGGGGAGCTGACACACTTTTCTGGCTGCTGTGTGCACTGCACACACATAGTGGCACACATACATACACTCAGACACACACACACACACACACACACACACACACACACACACGGTTAAGTAAATTTTTTTTTTTTTTAAAGACAGGCTCCTAAGTTATAAAAATATAGCAAGCAAGCCGGGTGGTGGTGGCGGTGGCGGCGGCGGCGGCGGCGGCGGCGGCGGTGGCGGCGCACGCCTTTAATCCCAGCACTCGGGAGGCAGAGACAGGTGGATCTCTGTGAGTTTGAGGCCAGCCTGGGCTACAGAGTGAGTTCCAGGAAAGGCGCAAAGCTACACAGAGAAACCCTGTCTCGAAAAACCACTATTATATATGGCAAGCAAATGTCTATTTTAAAAATAATAATTAAAATGATTCTATAAAATAAGAACCTAAATTTTAAAAAGGACTTAAGAAATACAAAGCATTTTTAGTATTAATCTTGTCAAGAAGTTTTGAGTTTAGACACATGGGGGACTATCCTGTCAACGCAGTTGAAGATGAGAATCACCTGTTTTCTATAGTCCTGAACATGTCTGCAGGAACTGGCAGAAGTTTGAGGTGAGAACTTAGAATTGACAAGTCTCCAGGCAATTTGCAGCATGGGAGGCGGTTACAAGTTCCTGAGGGAATCCGTTTACAAAGGCCAAAGGAAGTCTTTGATGTGTTATCTTTTCTACTTTATTTTTTTTTAACAATTAAATAAAGGCATTCTACTTCTTCTTTCCTGGGACCTCCCTGTGGGAAAAAACTCTGTCAACTAATTCTGAATTTTCAGTTATCATGTTTAAAAGGTCCCTGTAATAGTGTATGGCTCACATCAATAGAGAATGATGACACAGAATTTTTTGAGGGGTAGGGGTTGGTTTTTTTTTGTTTGGTTTGGTGGGTTTTTTTTGTCTTTTTGGGTTGTTTTTGTTTGTTTGAGACAAGGTTTCTCTGTGTTATAGTCCTTGCTGTCCTGACTCACTCTGTAGACCAGGCGGGCCTCGAACTCACAGAGATCCGCCTGCCTCTCTGCCTCCTAAATGTTCTGGGATTAAAGGCGTGCGCCACCACCGCCCGGCGATGACACAGATTTTACTTGATTTTTTAAAGAGGATACTCAGTACTTTATTCATAAGGAGATAATAGAAGTTTTCCAAAAGATAGATCTCAAATTAAGAAGAATGAATGAGAGTGTCT